GGATGGTCCCATTTGCCCATACTGACAAAATACTTAGGAAAGGCGGAGGAAGAAGAACAACAGACAAGTTATCCCAAAGGAACTGTGTCTGATTGGAAAATCTCCTTCTATGATATAATGAACACTGAAATACCTTCATAAAGGACTTAATGAAAATCCTTTAAAACCATAAGCATGAGGAAAAATTCCAGTGATGTTAATGAGCTGAGGGAGATTTACTAGAAACATGCCAAAGCATGAGAGACTTTTTTGTTATGATTGGTAGCAATATATTCAGTCTGGATGTTGTCTTGGTTTGAAGAAAGACAGGTGTCTGCTAAGGAAGGCAGAAACCTCTCTTGAAATAAATAAAAATGTAAACCACGACAACCCCCCTTCAAAAATTATAATCTTGAAATCAAAGTGCTCTCAGGCAAAGATACAGAAATAGGAATAACAGTTCTTTACTAAGGAAATTAAAATTAAAGCGCAGTAGTACAAGAAAAGAAAACCAACAAAAAAACAACCCACTGACAGAGTTAGAATTCAACCTGACCCCCTGTTAGTCAGGGTGTTGGTAGCAGTCTGATTAAATGGTGGCTGCAGCCCTCCTGGAGTGACAGATGTGGTTCTGTTGAAGCGGTGATCCTATAGAAAGGTGTAGTTTTCCTCTGAAGGTCCACTGGTGATGCAGATGGGTCCGGTCTCTTCTCTGGGATCCAATGGTGAAAGGCTTCCTGTGGTGGTCCAAGTCTCAGAGTATATCCAGGTAGGAATGCTTGGTTCCTCCCCCTGGGTGGAGCATCTCACAATGGGATGATGTAATTTTATCAGTCCTGCAGTGAGACTCAATGGCCCAATAACAGAAGATATCCCCTGGAGGGAGGATGGGTCATGGAAGAGATAAAGAACACTGCCCCACCTGGTTTCAACAGGTGATAATAGCATACTTTTGGTTACATCTTGCATTGCAACTCAAAACAGATGTTTATCTTCAAATAATTTCCTGATCACCACCCTACCACTTCCTATAACAAGACATAATAAGACAGCATCAGGAAGCTGTTGCAGATTAGGTACTGACATCTCACCAGAGAACAAACGTGAAGCTAAATTAAAAAAAAAATAAAATTTAAACTTAAAAAAAATTAAAATTTAATTTTAACTAAAAATTAAATTAAAAATTTTAATTAAAGAATTAAAAATACTTCTGCCAATTATTTCTTCATCTGCCACTATATAAATCCCACAGTAAAGTTGGCAGTTTAACATATTTAGACACTTCAGAAGCTTTCTTTTAGTATTGTCTGCTTAGTGCCTATGACTATTGAATGAAAAAAAGCAGTTGACTTCTGTTTTAATGAATAGAGTCAGTTGTTTTGGTTAATTGAAGAATACATCTGTGATGGCAGAAAAAGGTTTAGCCTATAATATGGTCATAAGCACCTTCAATAGGATATTGATTACATTAGTGAATAATGCATCTTACAAAATGCACTTTGGTCGGAAAGGTTTTTTTATCAGACAATAAAAATTTAAAACAATGCTGTCTGTATGATCTGTAGTTCATTTAGTCAAGATCCATCTCCTCAGAAAATGAGAACTTATTACTGAACCCTATTTGTGTGGACACAATTGGTAAAAAGTGAAACAAGGACCAAATGAGAATTTCAGAGCAGTTGACAGAAACTCTCACAGGCATCAACAACATGACAGGTGAAAATTACTTTTCTGGGAGCCAGGAATACCACCAAGCAACATTAATATCCTAGAGGCATCATGACTTTTCTATCCTTGCCTTGTGACACTCTACTTGTGTTTTCTTCTAATTATTTAATGGGTCACGCCTACATCCTCTTTGCAATATCAACCACCAGCTCATAAAACCATTAACAACCTTACATAATTGTGTCTACTTAAGCACTCTTTTCCTTTAGGAAGGATACACATAGTTAGGTTACAAATTGCTGTTAACCTTGGGTCATCCAGAGAGAACATCAAAAGAAATGGTTTCAGCTCAAATAAGGTCCAATTACCAGCTTAACTAGAGATACTCAGAGTGTAACACCATCACTTCCTCTCAGCATCATTCACAGGAAGATTTCTGGACATTAACAGTGCCTGCTAAAATAATATTATAGGGAAAGAACTCTTACTGAGGTTCTAAATGATAGTTTAATGTTCAAAACAAGGATATTCCCTTAATTTCACATCTGCCTCAGCACCCTCTTCTCTAGTCAAATATTGCAGAATTTTCTGTGAAACTCCTTTCAGGTGCTCTCAAGTGTGTAACAGCAAAAAGCAAATAAAACAAACAAAAAAAACATCAACAAGATATGCTTCAACACTGAATTGCACTGCTGATGCTTTGTGACAGACAAAAGCAGCATCTGAGTATGGAATTTTTCTGATTCACAGAAAGTCAGTGTCCCAGCCAAGCAGGAAGAAATCGGTGACTTGAAGTATTGCTGTTGTGAAGAGTGTGCTATTAAAAAGTAACGTTTATTTCTTACAAGGGAAGCTTTTAGACTCTCTCATCCCTTTTCCTTTTGGAGCAAATTCCATTTTTCCCATTCATGCTACTTGTGTAAGAAACAGTAGCCTGCCTGCTCTGGATGTTCAGAACCTGACGTCAGCCCCTCCTCAGCATCTGCTGAAGCCCACAAACACACACAGTGAATGGGCTGCAGCATAACAGCAGCCAGCTGCTACTAAAAATCCCCCCTTTGCACATCTCCCCGTTCTCATCCTCCTCCCCAGGCTCACAGATCCACATTTGAGGAAGCACTGCACCACTCCAGCACTCAGAGGAAGAGCCACGCCAGCCAGGAAGGGAGGAAGAAAGCACAGTGCACCAGAACATCACCTATCACCAGCTGGGTGATGTCATCCAGCACAAGAGGAAGAGATTTCTGAGCCTCTGCAAGGAAGCCAAAACAATTTCCCCTTACATGGGAAGTTTGAGGAGAGAAGTCTTCCCTAAAAGAAATGGTCTGAAAAGGCAGGGCATAGCGTTAATCTTTACTGCATTAAGGAAACAGCAGACTTATATAGCCAAGATACTTCATATGACATCTGAAATATGCAGCACAATAGCACCAAACAACTGGATTATGGAACAATGTTAATAGTACAGCAGCATTTTTGCCACACTATCATTTAACATTCCAAGACATCATAGTAAAGTCACACTTGAGCCTACAGAAGCAAGAGAGAGGAATGCCAAAAACCTCCCATAAAAACAAGGCAAAAAATAAAATTGCAATACAGCAAAAAAACATAGCCGTAAACAATATTAATGCTTAAGTTCTGAACCTAAGACTTCAGGACCTAACAGGCTGCAGGGTGCTGATGGGAAGGGTAAAGGAAGAGCCTCTCCCAAGGAGAACAGAGAGCTTGGGTTGTCCAGCTTTGCAAAACAAAAATTGAGAGTTTGTCCTTAGATACATCAAACATGTAAACACCAAAGCCAAAACCAAACCTTTCAAACAAAAGCACAAAGGAAAAAGCGGACATAAAGAGGGACTATGGGCAAAAGATTCCTGAGAAGCAAAGGAATCCCATAGGAATTCCCATAGGAGTAATGGAAAATAACAGACTACACAAGTTTTAAGGAAGTCTTCAATAATTAATGAATGACATTATCAGTGAGAGCTGCTTGTGACAGGGAAGACTCCTCCATGAGCCTGAAGTCCTATGTCCAGTTACAGTTGTGTGGTTTTGAAGCACTGGACGTGCCTGCTGGAGATGCTTTAACCTGTTCTGTTTCATTCAGACTCACACATCATTTGAAAATTACACCATAACAAGTTTGAATCATTGTGTGTGTCTTTTTCAGTTATTTAGCCTTTATGATAACTCAGGAACTACTGAAGTCTTCCAGGGCCTCTTAATCTAAACAAACAACCTGATCACCAAATGCTCCAACTTTCCACCAGTCTTGGCATGTTTCGCGTCTGAAGTATGCAAAGCAAACAAAATTGAACAGTTTTAGCCCATTCTCCTCAGGAAAAGGAAGTTTCTGCTACCACAGTTTGTCTTCCTACATCCTGCTCCTAACTGCCTGTCAATCATTTGACCAATCTGCTGGAACTCTAGAGAAGGAAGGACGCTAAACCCAAAAAAGTTGCAGGAAACCAGAGGGATGAGCTCATTTCTCATCAAGCCCGCAGAAGCAGACAACGCACCAAAATGCTTTCATGCACTAACTCTCCAGCTGCATTTTGACCTCTTAAAAGAAATTCCCTGAGTTTGGCTAGCAGAGTGAAAGCTTGGGAGATAGCTCAAGGTTTCCTGCTGCATGATCCAAAAGGGAGATAGTAACCTAACTGCAGCATAACAGATGGAATAACATAGCCTGCATGAAAAACCCCCCTCTCTAGACTGAATCTGCACAGTTCCATCGTAAGGTGTAGTTTAAAAACACGTATCCACTTCAGAAGCATAGAAGAGCACTTAGCGAATTTTCTTTAGAGAAATAATGAATATACATCTTTATCTTCTCTATTCCCCAAAATGAGACAAAGCCAGTCATTTTCCACCGCAGAGCTGTTTACATGCAGTAATTTTAAGAACATTTCCTAATAACTTCCCTCACTAAAGAGAACTGCAAAATCAACATCCCTCCTCCAGCAGCCTTATATTTTGATCTTACCTATTGAAATAGAAAAAATAAACACAAAACAAATCTCGGCACAAAGGGAAAAAACAGGAAACTCTTTAGCGAGTAGCGCTGAAGCAAATAGAAAGGTTTTGGCAGTAACAGCAGAAGCCGTATCTGGTTTGCATTCACATCACTCCAAGCATGAAAAGACAGAATCCCTCACAAAACGCCTATCGGATCCCGCAGAGAAGCAGAAGCCTATAAATTTTACTCCAGAGGAACAACTCAATACAGCCGCAGCTAAGACATCCTCTCCCTCCAGCCCAAGGCAAACACGACTTCCACCACCCATCTCCTCCAGAACGCAGCCCCCACCTCCCCATCCCCTCTCTTCCCTGCGTGGAAGGGAGGGAGAGACCTGGAAGCTCTGGCGCACATCCTGCAGATTGCTCCAGCCCGAGCCCGCAGGCCCCGCGCCGCCGCATCGGCCTGGGCCGGCGCTGACCCCGCTGCGGTGTCCGCGGTGAAGCCGGCGCGGTGCGGAGCGGAGCGGAGCGGAGGCCCCGGCTCTATGAGGCGCGGGCGCGGGGCGGCCCCGCCGCAGGTAGCGGAGCCGGCGCGCGGGCGGGGGCGGCACGTGGCGGCGCGCAGCCAATGGGGGCCGAGCGCTGCGCTGCGCGGGGCGGGGGCGCCGCCCGCGGTGAGGGGCGGCCGCGGAGGCAGCGCCACGGGGATGGTGGAGGGCGGCGGCCTCCGCTCCGCAGTTTCTGTGCGGTGGCGGGATTACAAATAAGCGCTTTCTTGACCTTTTTTCCCCCGCAATAATACATCGTGGGTTTGGGGATTTTCCCACACCACGCACAGCCGCCCCCCGCCCCCTCCCCAGCCAAGAGACTCCTGCCCGCCGCCCCCTCCTCATGTCCGCCGCCTTATCTCGCTGCCGGTGCCTTCATTCGCCCGCTGTGGAAAAACGAGGTCGATCCCCTCAAGTTACAGCGTTTTAGCTGTTTTTATTGTTCCTTATACTCCCAGAAGCTTTGGCTCGTGAGGGCTTTCTGGCCTCTCCACAGCAGTTTTAGGGAACCATTATTTTTGTGACCCGACGTGCCACAGAATGTGTAAAAAAATATAAAAGTCTGATTTAGTTGTAGCCTCGTTTAAGCGGCTGCTTGACTTGCAAGGGAGGGGAAACGACCTTGCAAACCCATCTGACCATGGCCTTAGAAGTCACAAGTTGCACCACCAAATAAAGAGCTGGAAAACCACTGGAGCAGAGCGAGGAAGCCTGGGCGCCAGCTGAGGGAAAGCTGATGAAGCAGGAAAATGGATTAAGTCATTACAGTCTGTGTGATGCTAGGAATTTACTTTTTTTTTTTTTTAGTATCTGACTTATTACTATGGCATCTATAAACTGTTCCCTAACCTAGATGATTGATGGAAAACAATCAGCAATTTCAGGCACAGCAGCTGCTAATTATTAGTGCTGGTAGTACAGTGCATAATACACTGCAGAGGCCATGGCAGGACTGACGGAGGAAAAGTTTGCCCTTAAAGAAGGTGCAATAAAACTGTCTCTGAGGTGCCACTCTGAATTAAAAAGGAATTACATGGTTCAGGGAGAAGAACTGCCACATAAGGAGATCTGAAAACAACCACTATTTTCTGACCGGTGTATAAATGTTCCCTCACTGTAAGGGATGGATGAGAGCATGTCCCGAAGCAGGATAGTTTAGATGCTTTCAAATGTTATACAAGATAAACACAGATATGTTTTCTATCCTTATAATGGTAGTTTCTTCACAGTTCCTGTTAAACTGCACTTCTTTTTTTCGACAGTGGATGCAATATTGCTTCTCTGTTCTGTCAGCTGTTTGATGGGTTGTAGTCAGGGCAGATCCTTGATCACTTTTTGTATGATTCAAGAGAAAACATATACAAATCAGAAACAAAATATTCCCTGCTCTGTTATTTCAGCTGTTGGGCTTTGGCCAGGAGACAACAAGGCTTTGCAAGCAGCTGCAGCAAAGATGCAGCAAATATGCACTTATGTTCATGTTTTGAAAGCTGATAGGAAAAGTGAACAATTAGTTTTGATACATGTTATATTTTTGAGGCGGGATGAAGCATGACAGTGGATGAATGATGCTGCATTTTGAAGAAAGCTTAGAGGATTCTCCAATTAGCAGTTAATTCTATCAATAAATAAGGTCTCGGTGGACTGAAGTCCCAGAAATAAATAGGAAAAATGAAGTACTGGGAGTACATCACCAGTCCCACTAACAAGGCAGGGAGATCAGAGCCTGAGAGGCAGAAAACACAATCATAAGTGACTTCAATAACTCAAATTAAGTTGGATAAATGTCACAGGAGGGGGTAGGGCTGGAGCTAACATTTTAGAAAGTATCTGTGGCTGCTCTTTGGGAAGCCAGAAGAGGAAAAGCAATCCCTGGCCCTAAAGAGTGTCATATTATTGACAAAGACCCACGCTGTAGCAGGAACTGTAGCATCCTTGGTTTCAACACCCTTGTAGCACCACGACAAAGAAAATCAGTAGCATTCTACTTCCTTTTCAAAAACAGAGGAGCAGTATAAAACAAGACACACCTTTCAGAGGTGTAAAGGGGGTAAAATAAAGGACTTGTAACCTCTGATAGGTTAAGTACAAAATTGTGAGAAGGATACAGAAGGAAGTTTCAGGGTCAGCTTGCAAAAGTTACAATAATAGGAAGTCTTTCCTAGAACAAATCAGGGAGCCTGCTGGAGTTTGACAGCTCTATAAGGCAAATAGATAATTTCATAAACAGAAAAAACATCTAGGGAAGATACAGCCATAAAAGAAAAGCTGAATTTATTTTTGCGTTTGTGAATGGGATAGATGAGCATGGGTAAACTCCAATAATGGTAAACTTCTTTAAGGGGAATAATTAGGAAAACATGTCTTGGATTACAGTGCAAGTATAAAAGATGAAGGAATACATTAACAAGTGAGCAGCAGCCAACTGCTGAGACCAGATGGTGTTCAACCACTAGTTGTCAAGCAGCTCAGAGACAAAGTGATTCAGGTACTAACTGCTGTCTCTGACTTCTCACTTAAAATTACTTCGGCGTCAGAGGGGTCTGGAGAGTTGCTCATGTAATACCAGATTTTTTAAAGGATTTTGGAGAAGATTGTGGAAGCTGTAGACCTGGAAGCCCAATCTCCTTGATAGACAAATAAGTAGAAATTATACTGAAGAACATAAAAAACTTAGTGGCCACATAGAAAAGATGACACATTAGGAAAAGTCATTATGGCTTTTTTAAAGCAAATTGGTGTCTCAGGAAAGCTTTCTTTGAAGAAGTCAACAAGCTCACAGACCACAAAAATTCATTTAACTGTCTATGATGGTCTCCAAATGCAATCAGTAGGATTCCTCCGCAAAGGAAGTAAAAAAGAAGGCTGCTAATGGATATGAAACTTGGACAAATAACTGGTAGAAATGGAGATCAGTAGTGATTTACAAAACGTGCTGCTGATAATGAGCTATTCAGGGTAGGGCTAACTGAGAAAAACTGAATGACTTTATGTTACTAATAGAGTCAGTGGCAAAATGGCAGATGAAATTAAATCTGATAAATATGAAATGCTGACATATGAGAAAAAAAAACAATCCTGAATTTCACATATATACTGACAAACTTTTAGCTGGTTTTTACCAGTGAGAAAAAAGGCCTTGAGGTTGTGAAAGGTGGTTCTGTGAGAACATCAACTCAGGGCTCAGCAGTGATCAAAATGGAAATTGAGGCATGTTAAGACTATTGTTAAAATTTAAGAGACAAATAGAAAAAAAAAAGTGCCATTGTATCAATCCCTGTTTGCACCTGCATCTTTAATTGTCTGTGCAGTTCTAGTTCAAAAATAGTGTGGTAGAAGTGGAATAGATTAAAAAATCAATAGAACTATCAGAAATAGAAGGGCTTCAAAAGGGATCGTGGTTGACTCACCTGGGTTTCTTTAGTCTGGAGGGAAGGAGAGATAGTATCAAAGTCTATGTAAAATCTTCAGAGATACAAATAAGAACCAGGAATCCGGACTGTTCACTGACTTATCAGACACAGGAACTGAGTTACAGCAAATGAAATAAGAAATTGGAAGGTTCAAAACAAACAAGAGGAGATAGTGCTTCGTTTAGCCTATAGTTAAGCCACAAGTCCTTGCTTCAGGACATAGTGGGTAACAAACCTTTGCATGGGCTTAAAAAGCAGCTGGAAAATCATCAAAGACTCTTGATCTAACTCAGCAAGTTCTTGACTTGTAAGTTTCTGGAGCTGGAAAGACATTTTGGGGAACTACAGAACGTGTTTTCCCAGTTCTTTCTGTCTTCCTACTCATATCTTATCCGCCTCTGTCTGAAACTGCTGGGCTGGATGGAGCTTTCAGCCAACCCAATATCAGTTTATATAGATTTAGGATTATTTTTACCTCCCAACTCCAGATCATCCAGCTGTTATAATCTCCCCAAACTATTTCTGGTCAAAAAGTAATTGCATAGGGTTTTTGCACTGCCTTTTTGTTTTGCCTTTCACTGCTTTTAGTACTATATTTAAGCCCACACCGATTTTTGGCACTGCCTACTATTTTGTGAAAAAAAATTCTCATTGAAATCTTTAATGGGTTCTTCCCAGAAGCATTAAAAACAAATTATCATTTGTAGGTGTAGTGTCTTTCTCATTTCTGGGAGAATGCAAATTGTCAGTGCAATCCTAAATACAATCTACATGGAAGGAGTGATGTTATAGGTAGTGTGCTGCTCTGGAGAAAAACAGTACATTGTATGGTGGAGAAGTCAGTGGTCTAAAGGGGTGGATGCAAAGCAGTTTGTTATTCTTCAGCTGTCTAAGTTGGCTTTGTGAATTAATGTGAAACAGAACAGAAATATTTATATTTCCCATTTCAACTGGTGCCAACAGGCTTAGGATTGTTGGAGTGTAGAAGTATCAATACAAATACTTAATTTATAATGATGGTAGACCAGGTATGAGTTGTGTCCTTTTGAGTTCCTTTTTCCTAGCAGAAAATATTTTCATGCAGTTCAGTGTTTTAAGTCTATTAATAATTGTACAAAGCCTTAACAGCAGAGATTGTAATGTATATATTAATAATGCATTTGCAGAGAAAAATATATTAATGCTTTTTGAAATGCTCAATTAAGCAATTACCTAATGCCACACAAAGCATTAGTAACAGAGAGCAAGTATAACCTTGAATTGTTTTATGATACTGCAGGTCTAAGAGTTTTTCTAAGAAATCTAAGAGAGGAGCCCATGGAGTGGAGCATTCTGTGAAGTGGGAAGCATCCAGTCCACAGACAAACAGCTCTGGGAGGTTGTCACAGCTCCTCCTCTGTGGCTTAGCTGGCCAGAGAGCGTACTGTGGCCAAAAGACTGTCTGTGGTCTGCTACTTCCAGAGATATTAAATATAACCATAGCAGCCTAAGCTGCTAAAAGATTTTCTAGCTTCTTTCTTCTCATTCTTTCTCCCTGGCC